ATCCCTTCAAGACTTCAATAAACTGTGTAAAATGGGTAGAATATGTAAACTCTACTGCAATTAAAAATATAGTTACATTAAAAAAAGCTCAATGATTTTTATGTTGACAAATTTAAAATCCTAATTTAGATTGGTCATAAAAATCAGGTTTAAAAACCCCCATTAGTCCTTACTGTAAATCAGGTCAGTTACATTTCATAATAAAGTATTCTGTGACACACAATGTTGWGAAGCACCTGCCTTATGCTTCACTTTGTCATTCAGCCTGTGGTCGCATGACATGGTCAACAACTGCACATTTAGTTTAAATGAATTGTTTCTTAAATCAGTCTACTGTGACTAAYAAACTGTCTCAAAGGCATCAATCTGTTGTAAATTTGAATTCAAAACCAAATGTTCTGTGCTCAGCCTTGACAAAATGAGCATCATACACTAATGTGATGCACACTTTTTTCATTTGGAAAACAATCGTATTTTGCAAAAAAAAAAAAAAAAAACAGACGATTTTGTAGTGCATTCAAAGAAACGATACAGAAGGTGCATTTGGCACTAAAAAATGTTTGTACTGTATATTTTTATCATGATCAGCATTAACTTACTGGGTATACCAGACACCAGTTTGAGAGGCCTCAATACCCTCACAGCCCGAAGAGTCCGCAAGTCGAAATCTGAACCCACAGTGGACAAAATCCTGAAGGGGAAAAGACAAACACTTAGAAGTGTGCACAGAAAATCAATATTCAAGCCAGTCAGGCTTGTCACTGTCAGTCAAACTCTCTGTTTCCTGCAGTCCCTCTCTCTCACACCCCATACAAGACTGATACAAGCATCTGGGTGAGCACTGTATGTAAATCCTGTAGAAGCTGAGCTGATCAATAGAGCTGACAAGTGAAGTAAGACAGAGAAGTGTATCAGGATGGGGGKGTGCTGAGGAGATGGTGTTCAGTATCAGGATGAGAGAGGGATGGAGAGATGCCGAGGAGAGGGAAAATGGATTTGATGAAGGAACAGAAAACGCGATGGAGAGAGTCAGCACTGGCAAATGACRTGAATCAGTGATACTGTCTTACTTATTCAGGCCTTTTGTGTTCTTGAGCCATTTACAGTATTTCTCAGTCAGCCTACACAGTAAACACACTGTGGTACCTATATTAATGCTCAGGTTAAGATGTTCCTTAGTGCTGCCAGATTTCCAGTCAGTCCCCAGTCTGACGCACTCAATGAATCATCCGACTTCCTACTTCTGTCTCTCTGACACGTTTCTACTTTCCTCTGTTCCACAAAGATGCTCAGTGACACAGCAGAACTGTAATCACACATCTGAGTTCCTCCTGCCTTCATTAAAATAGTCCTAATTAAATTACGAAGGCAAAGAAACACAAACTCAAGAACCTATTTGTGGATTTGAAAGTAGAACTGATTCACTAGGAAGGTCCCACTGATAGATCCTCCAACATTTGTGTAGGGAAAAGTCCTGAGTCCTTGTAGTGACATTGTGTGATACCCGATGCCTCACCAGGGGCTGACTTGCAATAGAGATGTTCCAGGTTTGGTCACATGGCATTGATGTACTGTACTGTACTTCATTTGCAACAAAACATTAGGCTATAAACTAACAAATKAACAATTTTCAGAAACACAAAAGTAACGGCCATTAAGACTTTCAACAGAGAATAAGGTAGTTTAGAGGTAGATCTAGAAATGACAAAAAAAAGTCATAAACTGTCAAACAAAAGCTCTGTTTGAAGACAGAAAATTGGTAACTCTTAGATGTCTGGTAAAAGCTAAACTCACAACCCAAGCAAGACTGTCTTATCATAATGACATTTGGTAAGAAAGAGAATACATTATTTAGAAAATAAGCCTCATAATTTTGAGGTGAATGGTGAAGCAAGAGAATTCAAATAAAGCCAAATTGTGATTGCTAAGTAGATGTGATATTAAGTCTCCATGGATGTTCCTCAACAACAGAAATCAAGATTGTATATGTATATTTTAGTTAGTTAGTTAGTTAGTTAGTTAGTTAGTTAGTTAGTTAGTTAGTTAGTTAGTTAGTTAGTTAGTTAGTTAGTTAGTTAGTTAGTTAG